TTCAAATTCTTAACCGTTGCATGTGGTGCATACTGTTTTAACCTACACGTAGTTACGCTCACTAAGTTTATTTACCTTTTCGTTCCTCTGTCCTCTATAGAAAATATCCATCTAATTCAAGACGATCATTTCAAAACTGACTAAATACGCGTCAATCAAGTATTGAACTACTGCTTGATTGAAAGTTTCAGAACATTATCAACGGTGTATATTTGCATTGATAATGTATTGGAGCGGGACTTAAAGCTCGATTCAAAGTAAATCTGGACGCACGGTTTAATACACCACCGCGCCCCTGGTGGTCGGAACAAAAAACGTTTGACAGGTATTTGTTGATGTTTCATTGACGAAGAAATTGGTGAAAAGTTTTTTTTCGAAAAGAAAATTAATTGTTCACAAACATCTAGAGAACCCTTCGTGGTCTGCCTCAAAAAATAGCAGAAGTGTTAAAATTCCCAAAGTCAACGGTGAGTCTTGTAATCAAACGTTACAAAGATATTCGGAGTGTGGATAGAGCACAGTGCATCTATCATAAAAGTGGCACTAGGGACAAAGAGCTGAGGAGAAAGGTGTTGAGGTACGTGAAAAGCAACCCAGGTGTCTCCATACGTAATTTGGCAAAACAATACGATTCCAACTTTTCCACCGTGCGTAGCATCCTTTCTAGAGAAGGATATAAGTCTTTTTGTGCCAGTAAACATCCGAATTGCTCCCTGAAACAAAATTTAGTGGCCACGATTACTATACGAACGAGTTTTGACGAAATTTGATGGCTGTATTTTAATGGATGACGAAACATATGTCAAAATGGATTATAAACAAATCCCCGGACGAAAATTTTACCTAGCAAGTGGTAGTGAGGATGTCCCTTCCAGGTGTAAATTTGTTTTTGCTGATAAGTTTGCTCGGAAACTAATGATTTAAATTTAAACCTAACAGTTTAAAATCAAGGTATTCATCGCATTTTTTTTTCCTTTGGTTTGTTTTTTTCCGTCGATCTTGTTTTCCGTGCTGAGCACCAATGCTACCGACGTGCCAGGAAGGCAGCTCCCACACCTGGACCCTACCTATCGACCCATCAACTCATGAACCGGGGACCAACGGCTTTACTTCCCATCCGAAGGAAGGCCTGATCAGAGATGTTATGCCTCAGAACATCCCGGCGGCGCCGACTGGGATTGAACCCAGGCCTGCTGGGGTGAAAGGTAATCACGCTTACCACTACACCACCGGCGCCGTTATGCGCTGGAATAGGCTTTTATGGTTTTTTTTTCAAAATTTTTGTGAGTTTCCAAAAGGGTTTGGAACTCGGGTCTAATTTCGAAATATTATTTTCAAAAGTTTTGTTCCTCAGGGCAGATAATCGCTTTTTAATTTGTTTTTGCAAATCCTGCCAGATAGCTTTCATTGCAGGATCGCGTGTTCTTTGTTTTTGTCTTCTACGGACATTTTTAAGACGGATCAAGAGCCGAAGATCGTCGTCTATTATAATTGAATCGAATTTAACCTCGCATTTTGGAACTGAGGCAGCTCTTGCTTCAACTATAGAAGTAGTCAGAGATTCAAGAGCATAATTAATTTCATCTTTGGTTTGCTTTGTTAGCTTGGTTAGCTCTCATAATTTCAGTTTGGGTCTTACTAGTCCTATTGAGAATCACGTTGTTCGGGATTATCTGAATATTTTCTCTCGGGAAAATATTTTTGATTATTCCTGGGGGACTGATTTGGACGAAGTAAGGTCTATAACTAAAAAGTTTCATAATATGAAAGCTCCAGGTGATGATGGAATTTTCTATATCCTCATCAAAAAACTCCCAGAGAGTACCTTGTCTTTCTTGGTAAAATTATTTAACAGATGTTTCCATTTGGCATACTTTTCTGATAAATGGAAAAATGCAAAAGTTGTTCCAATTTTGAAGCCGGATAAAAATCCAGCTGAAGCATCTAGCTACCGTCCAATAAGTTTGCATTCTTCAATAAGTAAACTTTTTGAAAAGATAATTTTGAATTCAATGATACTGATTTTTTGCAGATGAGCAGTTTTGGATTTCGCCATGGGCATTCAACTACTCATCAACTCTTAAGAGTTACCCTACCCCCAAGCTCCTCCTCTTTTCCTATCCTTCGGCAATGTACCCCTATAACCTCGGAAAAGCCGCGAGTATTCGGCCCAACTCCTACTAGACATAGCATTAAGTGAATTTTGTTACAAACAATGAATTACCGGCTCCGTAAAGCTTACGCGATTGAGCCTTACACATAAACGAACTAGATAAAGAATGAATAAAATTCTAATATTTAAACAAGTTTTTAGACTGGCCATAGTTTGCTGAGCCAATATGGTCTAGTTGTTGCACTACCAGGAAAAAAGTAGAAGGGTCTGTGCCTAGAGGCACGAACGGAAGCTTGACGTAGGACCGTTAGTGGACGGAACAAATGTGAACATTTAGTTCTTTTAATTGATCAATCATCAATTATCTTAACTCTTTCCGTTTTTTATTTGTAAGCGTATCAAATTTTTAGTATTTACTTCAAAGAGAAAGTTGATGAAGAGAATCCAAGAGACTGCCAACTTGAGTATTTTCGATTCATCTACCCGACTTTAAAAGGTGTATTTTGAATTTTTTGTTATTTATGAAGTTTTAAGTTGAGTGCATTTTGGTATTAAAGTGTATTCAATTCATCCCTCACAGGATTTCCTTCCAAATTATATGAATGGGGCGGGGCGGAAAGTATCGTTTGTGCAGACTATGTAAAAGAGGAGGGACTTCGAGAGATTGAACTCGTGAGAGCTAATTTTCTCACAAATTTGATTTTATTGGCTTCACACAGTGGTGTGGTCGTTGGGAGCGTGTGGTTCTGAGTATGGCGATGAGTGTACAAAATATTACGCAATTCCATCCTCCCTATTCGCACGCGCCCGAGGATCGGAGGCGAATGCCACTTCGACTTGTTTCGTCTACTTACTACTCTCTGACGACTGTGCTGGGGAAGCAGCATATGCATGTAGGTAATTGGTGGATTTGTTAGTTAATTCAACGCTTTTGGACAATGCTGGACATTTATCAGTTTTCAATAGTTTATTGTTGAAAATCAACATTCGGAAGCATTGTTATCGTTGCGTAGCCATATTTCTGATCGATTGGTGATAAAGTTATTGAAATTGGACCAGGGGCAGCTGAGTTATTAACGTTCAAAATCTTTCTTAATTTGTTACATGTTCCATTTTCGGTTCTCACAAAGTGTACCCCATATAGAAATCAAAGACGTAGTCCTACGTCAAAAGCACTTCAAAGGATTCAGAACAAAGTTCTGAAAATTATTTTGAAGTTGCCTCCTTGGTACAGTACTGCCGAGGTGCATAGAATTTCGAATGTTGCATCGGCAAACCATTATTATTTATTTAGTTATTATTATTATAGCCCATCTGACTTGGTAGTCTCAACGAAACATTTAAATCAAAATGTAGTCATTCATTAAAAATTAAGAATTGGCCGACAGCAAACGATGCCGAAATCTGGATGTCAGAGTCAAATAGGTCAGATACTTCGTTGAATTGATGAATCATGGCGACAAAGGAACTGTGTGCAGCATAGTTGGTTGCATGTACTACTTCATGTAGCAAGGCTTTCCGACGGAGTGTTCGGACAGGAGCATACAGATTAATTTTGGCCATTAACTCAGCAACATCATATTCTGCGAGCAAAAATTAAGCAACGAAGACGGCCTGCGATACGTTTCGTCGCTCAGCAAGAGTATCCAAACCCAGCAAACGACAGCGGTCAGCATACGGTGGTAAATTCAGCGGGTCACTCCAAGGAAGATAGCGCAGGTCGTATCTGACGAATTTGCGTTGAACAGCTTCGAATCGTGCACTCCATACTGCTTGGTAGGGATTCCAGACAACACACGCGAGTTCCTAAAGGGTAAAGGGCTTTAAAACACAGAGGATCACGGAATTCCTTAAAGATCTTGAACATGAATCCAAGCTGGTGATTTGCTTTGTCGAATGTGGTTGAGAAGTGGCGAGTGTACGTGACCTTTTCATCCAACATGACACCGAGGTCTTTAACGTTAAAGTGCGGTCCTAGAAACGTTATAATCAAACAGAATGGCAGTCCTAGTTCGACGGAAATTAATTGTGCAGCACTTTGAGACGCATAGGACCATAAAATTACGTTCAAACCAATCATCAAAGATTTCCAGAAGGTTTTGTAGTTCCAAACAGTCACCATAGTCTAGAATGACTAGGGTTATCCTCAATTGCAACAATTAATTCTCTTTATACTTAGATAAGAATAGGATTGCTTCTTCGCAAATTTAGTTTCTGCCCGTCGTACGGTATGCTGACCCTACTTCACTTACGTTCTCGAAGCTCTGTTGATATTGAATTCTGACGAACAGCTCAGCATTAGAGATCCTGTTGTGAGGCCACCAAGTACGAACAATGCACCACAGTCACCATTTTTTGCGCACCTCTATTGCTCTTGGTGCCGTGGTAGGGATCTGATCGCTATCTGACTACCAAGACATTGAAAACATTCGACTTTTTCTAATGTATGCCCATCTACCGAAAAATTGGAAGGTGTAGTAAGCAGTTTGATAGCATCGGTTACTACCAATTCGATGCGAAGTTGACGATAGATGCTGTCGTTGATTTGCCTGCATAAGTCTTAATCTACGAAAAACGATGTTTAAAGTCATTGTTGATCACGTGCTAGTCTAAAATTTATAAATTCGACTGATGAATTTTCGCCGACAAAAACCCCCCTTTATAAAATAAATCTCACTCCCAATCGATAACATCCGAGGCACTTGATAACGAGAGCCCAACAATTTTCTAAATCCATAAAATTTGAAACTACCGGCGATCACAAAAGGGATCCAAAAAGCACGAACATGATTTTCTGAATGCTTACAGGTAGTACCTCTGCAATACTTTGGTCCCATTTATTGATCCTATTCATTCCATAATGTGATAAAAATAGATATAGACTTACCATTTTGATTTTCGGTCAAGTTGGTGTAATAGATCGGTGCCACACAAGCCTCCGTCGGGCTGGTCGGTCCCGTTGGTCCTGCTGTTTCATCCACTATTCGTTGTATCACTCCTCCCGTTCCCATGCCCGTTCCCCCTAATCCTCCGCCACCAGCACTGCCATTGATGCCTGCACCGGTGCTAATCACGCTTCCCAGTTGCCCCGGGCCACCAGAACCACTACTGATCACACTTACACTGTTCAGTATAATCACATTTCCGGTACCGGGTCCGGCCGGGGTGGGACTACAGATCACTCCCCCCGGGACTACCCCACCAGTGCTGTTGCTGTGACTAGTATGCTTCACAATCACATTTCCCACTTCCGTTGCACTGTTTGTGCCACCACCCCCGATAATCGTAATCTGGCCGTGCTGCTGCTGCTGCTGGTGGTGGTGCTGTTGCTGTTGTTGTTGATGATGATGATAGTGGTTGTTGTTGAATTGGATGGCGGCGGGCTGGCCATTAGTAGCGAGCCGTCCATAGGGAATCACCCCACCTCCGACGGAAACGGTCGGTGGCGGAGCTGCTATTTGCTTCTTGACGATGTAGCAACGAGGCATGCTGATGTTGTTTGGATTGATCCACGTCCTAATAGTGTTATTTATTTCGCTGTGGACTGGAGGTTGCTAGCGCTAAGGCTGAAGAACCACCCACGCAGGTGGTGCGCCCGCTCGCTTCCGGATAGAAGGCTAATAAATCGATAAAAATAAAACCTGCTTGGAAGGTAACCTTGTGCCGTGCTGAGGTGAGTGGGGGTTGCTAGTGAGAATCAGTAATCCAGGATGGTGGTAGTAAAAAAGGTAGCAGGAGGTACGGTTCCGAAAAACAACACACTTGTTGGATTTATGAAATATGTTTTAATGGACCCCGCGAATCCTTCGTCGTGCCGCCCCGCCAGCGTCGTGTCGCGTCGCGTCGGGGGAATCCAGGGTCGGGAAATGTTCGCGTTTCACTGACGACTGTTGGTTGGTGTGTGTGTATGTGTGTTGGTGTGCACTTGTGCAGCGGAGCGAGACGGGTTGACCTGCTGCTCTTGCTTTCGGGCGCTTGATGGTTTGCCCTGGTTCGAGTTGTTGTTGATTTTTCCTGGTGTGTAATGTTTGTATTTCGTACTGCCTGACTCTGTGTGGGTGAGCGTTTTGCGGCTCCTGTGACTTTGCCGCTGGGGGGTGGTAGCTCCTGGGGGTGGTGGACACAGAGTTGACAAAGGGGACGACAGGGGACCAATATAGGTGAGTCAATGTGTATATTTATGTGTTTAGGGAAAACAATCGTAAAACACTTGTTGTTATGGGGTAGTTTTGGGCGAGTTCCTCACTTCCTTCCACACGTTTGGCGATGCCACCTTGCTTACTTGCTTGCTTTGCACGATTTGGAGATTGGAATATTGCTTTTCACTCGATTTAGTTGCACCGGTATTGATTTATTTTTATTTGTTTAGTTTTAAAAGTTTTCGAGTATAAAATATTTATTGCTATAATCTTTGATCGTAACGCTTAAAAACGGGGGGAATTTCATTCCAAACTACTGCTATCGGTTATGTAGGTGTTTGCTTTTTATTTTGCTTCAATTTCACAGGATGGGTATTGCTTTCGTTGTATTTTCGAGTAATTTTCTTCAATTGCTTTTCGTTTACCACTGCGTTACAGGAGTTTTTTTTTTATTCGTTTGTCAAAGTTTACATATTGAGCCGGACAGTGTCATCCGTTAATGTATGTATGTAATAATTACAACTTGATGCAACAAGTAGCCGAAAGTGGAGTGCAGCTTGCCCCCCAATATACTACGGCGAGTGGCGACTGACGACAATGACGAGACGATGATTCCCGACATGGCTCTTTACTGGCGGATATCCGGGGTGGAACTCTAACAGGTGAGGATCTAGCAGGTGTTCTTCGGTAATAGCAAGCACTCGCACTACCGGTTGGTCCATTCTTCCTACTAGTTACAAGGCAAAATTACACAACACTTTATAGCTACGCACTAGCTGTCGGGGTGGACTCATGAGTCACTGCATCTTCCCTCGTTCGAACGGATTGAGGCCACGCTCCAAGGCCTTTCATCCAAAAATTTCACAATCCTCCTCTGAATTCGACAAACGTTACACCTTGGGACCTCTTCAAAGGTCCTTTCGATCCATTCTGGTTCACTTTTCACCAATTTTCCTCCCGAAATCGACGGAACACTGAACCGGGCCCGGCGGCCATGCTTGCAAACTCGAATTTCTATAGCCAATTTCAGCGCCCGTTCACAAACACACCAGTTTTTCCGCACCAACACGGTCAGGAAAAAAAATCCTTTGTAAACCGAAAGTCCTCTAACAAGTTGTTGGTAGCTCGAACAGGTTTCCACCAGCACTCACTCGAACTCAAACTCGACTTTCCACACCACTACACCCAAACAACAAAACTGCTGCAGCTGCTAGGCCAGGACGGAGAACCATTTTTCCAAGCGAAGAAAAAGCGCCCACTTTCAACCGAGCACTTTTCGCCACTTTGCACCATCCAACTCAATCGAACTTCACTTCACCAGCACTCGCGACAACTTTCCCATCCAGTTGGTGCCGGAAAATAGTACTTACAACGAGAAAGAACGGAAAAACGGTCCAAATCGAGAACGTAGAGGAACAGGAAGCACACAGCGCTCACAGAGGAAAGAAAACATATAGTGACGATCGGACGACGCGACGGATTCGCTTCAGGAAACTCCGGAGTGAACCCACATTCCGCTATCTCTTTTCCTCATTTTAGCCACGCGCTCTTGGGTGCGAATGGCCCGACTAGCTATTTCCACCCTCCTCGAGGACACTCACCAAGGGAAAAATCGAGCAGTTACCACTCCCTTACACACGCACGCATGCATGGATGCAGTAGACTGCTCAAAAGGGACAAGTTGCAAGCAAACAAGTGGTGGTAGTGTTCACACAGGTTGCAAAAAAACCACCCCATCGCATATCGGTTCGACGTCGGTTGTTGTTTGGCCCGACCGACCGAAAGCGAACGGAGATGTGCGCATGATCGCTGGAAGAATGGAACCACGTAGCCGCGTGTGTTCTATAAGGGATTCTTCCGGAGGCAACTCAACAACCCAAGAGGCTGCTGGTGGGTGCCAAGGCAAAAACATCTACACTCTTTGGAAGGGTTCTGCTGGGTGGCGAAGATCTGTGCGCTGAGAAATGCTGAAAGTTGTTTCCCTCAGGGACGCGGTGCGGTGAGAGGGGATGGGTGAATTTATTGGCTCTCCGATTGATGATTACTTCTCGGAAGTGGTGGGATGATGCGATGCGAGTAGAATCAGATTTCTCACTTCGTAATCCACCCTGCCGGGGGTTGCAGTTAGCGTATTTGGCTCTATTTACTAGCAAATTTAGTTGTTTAGTTTATATTTACTGCTGCAATGCTACTTAATGATTAAATTCTTTTCTACAGTGATTCAACAAATTCCGAGCAAAATCCAATCTTTTCAAAATTGATTTAAAATTTTTAGAAGAGAGAACAAATCAGAAACGATTCAGGAAATTCCTAATTGAGGTGACACTTTCCAAAGCAGATTCAAAGCTGAGCCTGAACTTTTTAGAAGTGAGTTCAAACTTTCGAATAAGTCATCAACATTTTTCTAACTGAGTCCAAACTTTTCTGTTATGTTATTCAATTCTTTTTTAAGTAGTCAAAGCTTTCCTGAAATGATCCAACATATCCAGAACCCTAGTTTAAAAAAAATGGTTTCGCAATTTCTGGAGTGAGGCCACATTAGCTAATTTAATCCCTTTCCTAAATAAATCCAAATGATTCAACTTTTTCCGAACTGAATCCAAACTAGTCAGAACTTGTCAATGAGTCCCAGATTTTTGTTAACTGCTTTGGCATTTGGCAAGGACACAATCTAGTTTAGGTCGTCTAGTTTTCCGATGTTTTTTTGAGCTTAAATTTTCCAAATGGAGTCAACCCTTTTCTGAAGTGGTTCAATACCTTCCTTAGGGAGTCCAAACTTTTCTTTCTTTTGAATTATATTTAATGTTAGTCTGAGATTTCCTGAAGTGATTTAACTAACTTTTAACGTAGATGCCGCTCCCTTAGACCCCTTCCTCGTTCTTGTAAGATTCACATTCTTTGAAAATTAAGCTGATATTTAAAAAAAATGGACCTTCCTGCTTTCATACCTGATGGTAGTTTATTTTTTAAACAAGCACAATTGTTGAGAAAACTGGGTTTACATCAACAAAAGTACGTATTTTTTATAGAAATTTGGATTTCTTTATCAGCCAAGTTGGATTTTGGCTCCGTCCTTTGAAAAACAGGCTTGGATTTTATTGAATAGTTCATACGTGATGGTAGATTTTTTTGAAGCCAGGTTGAATTTTGGTTCTACACAGCAAAAAATTAATTTTAATATCACATCAAAGTGGATGCACTTCAATCGTGTCGAAAATATGGTGTAATATTACTTGCCACAAAGGGCAAAATTATCATTAATACAGTGCATGTGCTGACATTACGTTGCTTTTACTGCATTTGTTTATTTGTGTGGCTATAAAAATTACATGAGATTCTCGACGTGATTGAAGTGCATCCTCTTGGAAGTAATATTAAAATTTATTTTTTGCTGTGTATCGTTTGAAATTTGTGCTTGGATTTTATAGAACGAAACTTGCTTTTTTTTTATTATTATAGTCACTTTAACACTCTTGGGTCATTCGTGACTTGTCCGGGGGTGAGATTTGAACTCATGACTTTGGCGTGAGAGGTATGGATGCTAACCACTACGCCGGGGTCGCCCCCACGAAACTTGCTGAATCCATGCGTGAAGGACGAATCTTTTTCACTTTTTCACAAAAGTAGGTATTTTCATAGAAATTTGATTTTTCTGTTTTGCCGAACTGAATTTTGCCTCCTATCTTTGAAAAATAGGTTTGTATTTTATAAAATAGAACATGCCGAATCCATACGTAATGGTTGAATATCTCAATTTTTGATAAAACTGAGTTCACAAAAGATCGTATTTTCATAGAAACTTTGATTTACTGTTCTGCCAAGTTGAATTTTGGCTCCTTCCTTTCAACATAGGCGTGGATTTTATAAAATTTCTGGATCCATACGTTTTTTCGTAAGTTTATAGATTGTATAGAATGGAACTGGCTGTATCCATACGTGAAGGACTAACCTGGTTAATATTCACAAAAGTACGTATTTTCATAGAAATTTGATTTTTCTGTTCTGCCGAACTGAATTTCGGCTCATATTTTTGAAAAATAGGTTTGTATTTTATAGAATGGATCTTGCTGAATCCATACGTGAAGGTTGAACTGGGTTTGTAATTCGAAAGTAGGGGAAATGTAGGTAATGTCGGCCTACATGTCCCTAATTTGGGTCCATAGCTAAAAGTCAGCTATTTATCAATTTTATCTAGATGAACGCGTTATTGGGACGTTACTAATGGACATTTTTGGTTGCTATTGAAAATTTAGTTGATTACTGAATTTATGTATGGGCCCAAATTAGGGACACTTAGGCCGACATTACCTGCATTTCCCCTATGTCATATTTTTTTTTTTATAAATTTTAATTTCCTTTTCAGCTAGGTTGGATTTTGTTACCGTCCTTTGAAAGTTATGTTTGGATTTTATAGAATGGGCCT